TCTACTGGCCTGAGTTTTCCCTGCATTTTTGTGTTTGCTGTGGGCTTACCGCCACAGTGGATGGTAGGTGGCTCGCACGACCCTGCCAGGAGCCCTCCCCCAAAGGAGCCCAGAACCTTGACAGGATTCGTCGAGGCATTTTTCCCTCGCACAGGGGACCCCCGAAGGCTGTGCAGCTGGCCAGACTGCTGCGTGAAGCTTCGGACGCGGTCCAGCGTGCGAGGGAGGCTCGGGAGGAGAGTGGAATGCAGCAGCCCCCCTTCTGTGAGGGTGGTGTGGGTGGAGCGGCCCGCCGACCCACCAGGATCCCTCACCGTGAAGGCGGGGACTCATCGTCGGATTAGTCCCCGCCTAACCCGTTTAGTTTTGCGGACGCTCGTCCTTTCATGGTCACTTCTGGTCACTCGTCCTCCTCCTCCTCCTCCTCCTCCTCCTCCTCCTCCTCCTCCTCCTCCTCCTAGTCTTCTCATCCAGGAGGCCTCACAGAGACAGCCCTTCTTCGCTGCGGGGGGGCTCGCGGGAGTGCTGCAGGGGCACTGCGCGGGCCGGTATGGGCGGAGCGTGCGCCGCAGCGGCCCCGGAGAGGCCCTCTCGGACTTCGCGGGGGGCGCTCTCGAGGGGCAGCGGTAGGAGGAGGACTGCATAGGCGTAGGTCGGGCACGTCCTCCTGCAGGCGGATCCTGGGCGAAGAGTAGAAGAACTCGAAACATGCTCTTCAAAAACTACCAGAAAATGCTCAACAAATTCGTCCCGCGACTATGTTTGTAGCTATGTTTGAGCATTCCTCCTGTAGCGGGGCACGCCCGACTTGAGCACAGTGGGGGAAACATCGGCCCGACTTCGGCGGCACATCCACCGAAAGATCGACGAGAGGCCCCCGATCGTGACTCCGCACGCTCCTGGGCCGCGTGGGGCTATCGGGCCCCTGTCGGCGATCAGTGGGCGATTGGGGGTCGATGCAACCCCCCCATATGTGAAGGGGAACTGGGACACACAAATAAATACACACACATAAGAATATCGCCCATGTTTTTCCATATTTTCTGGGTTTCTGTCTTCCCCCCCACTTCCCATATTTTCCTATATTTTCTGGGAGTCGACGATTAATTGTGTCTGTGTGTTTTTTCCCCTCCTGAACATGCCCCTCCCCCCCTATCGTTGCCCCTGGTTTCCCGCCCCCAGCTGGGGGAAGGAAAAGCTGCACAGGCATCGAAGCCTCGACGGTCCGCGCGGATTCCTCGGATGCGAACGGACCGTCGAAAGTTTCATACTCATGCCGTTCGTTTCGACGGTGGACAAACCTCCCTAAAAAAAAACACCCTTTTAGTGAAAACGGCCTAGAACCGAAACCGACGGACCTGGACCCGCAAAACTGACGGCCGCGACGCCCTCTCGCGAACCGAAAACGGCCAATCCACTAATCGACGTGTCAAGGTAGGAGGCCTATCAACCTCCAATCGTTTTTCTTCGACCCGCGCGGGCGTGCGCGGCAGCGCCCGCTGGATAGATCTCCTTCAGGGTGACGTTGCCGGTGGGCGACGCGCCGCTCGTCCAGTCGCTGCCCCTCGGCTGGCGGGCCGCGCGGGCCAGGAACCAGTTGGCGTTCGGCGCCCTCAAGAAGAACTTGTCCGCCACCGCGCCCGCAGCGGCTGGTGAGGTCGGGCTCTCAGTGACCTGGGTCAGTGCAAACCTTGATTGGCCTGCTTTCCACCACCACCATAAGTTGGAGGGGGTAGGGGTCCTCCTCCTCCTCCTCCTCCTCCTCCTCCTCCTCCTCCTCCTCCTCCTATTCCTCCTCCTCCTCCTCCTCCTCCTCCTCCTCCTCCTCCTCCTCCTCCTCCTCCTCCTCCTCTCCTCCTCTTCTCCTCCTCCTCCTCCTCCTCCTGCTCCTCCTCTTCGTCCTCCTCCTCCTCCTTGTCCTCCTCTTTCCCCCCTCCAACTGATGGTGGTGGTGGTGGAAAACAAGCCCATTAGACCTGGCCCGGCACGGAAACGGAAAGAGCGCTTCAGAAACAGAAACCGAAATTACTCACACCACTGTTCGTACTGGGAGCCTTGGCGTTGAGAGCTTGTTACGTCACCCCTCGCTCTTGGGAGCCTTGGTGTTCAGAGATTGTTGCATTGCCGCCCGTTCCTGAGCCTTGGCTGGGCCTTGGTGTCAGGAACTTGTTACGTCACCGCTCTCTGCTGGGAGCCTTGGTCTTATCAGCTTGTTTACGTCACCGTTCGCTCTTGGGAGCCTTGGTGTGAAGAGCTTTTTGCGTTACCGATCGCTCTCTATTTGGCGTCTCTGGGCCTTCTTGGGAGTCCTATTGGGGCCCTTGTCGGGCCCTTTTGGAGGCCTCTTGGGAACCTCTTGGGGGCCTCTTGGGGCTTCTTGGGGGGGCTCTGGGGGCCTTGGAGCGAAAGGCTAGACTTTTCGGTTCGTGGTCCCCCTCTTGGGGCCGTCTTGAGCGCCTCTTGGGCCGTCTTGGCGCCCTCTTGGGCCGTTTTGGGTGCCTCTTGGGAGCCTCTTGGGCCGTCTTGGGGCGGTCTTGGGGGCCTCTTGGAGCGTCTTCAACGCAGTGGAAGCCGAAAAGTCTTGTATGCTAAAAATGTATATTTTCCCATCGGAAATCAATGATTTTCGCCTCCCTGTGGCCTCTTGGGACGCCTCTTGGGGGCCTCTTGGGGCTTCTTGGGGGGCTCTGGGGGCCTCCTGGGAGCGTCTTGGGGCGAAAAGCTAGACTTTTCGGTTCGTGGTCCCCCTCTTGGGGCCGCCTTGGCGCCCTCTTGGGCCGTCTTGAGCGCCTCTTGGGCCGTCTTGGGGCCCTCTTGGGCCGTTTTGGGTGCCTCTTGGGAGCCTCTTGGGCCGTCGTGGGGCGGTCTTGGTGGGCTCTTGGGCCGTCGTCAACGCCGTGAAAGCCGACAAAGCGCATATGCTAAAAATACACGTTTCCTCTGGAAAATCGATGATTTCGGCCTCTTGGGGCCCTCTTGGGACGCCCCTTGGGCGCGTCTTGGGGGCCTCTTGGGGGCCTCTTGGGCCGTCTTGGGCGGTCTTGGGCTCTCTTGGAGCGCTCTTGGGCCGTCTTGGGGGGGAACCCGAAAAACATGCAAAAACCCGAGGGAAACCCGAAAACGGCCATTAACACACAAATGCGCACGCTACCCCCCTCCCCTGGAACTCCTCCCTTTAGGGCTTCGCCCACACCAGAACGTCATCACTCGTACCTCGCTCTTTCCGTTACCTGGATCAGTCAGGCTTTGCAGCATCCTGCAAGATCCTGCGGGATCCTGCGCGCCAGCCCGGGTCAGTGCAACCCTGGATTTGCAGGATCCTGAAAGATCCGGCGCTCGGGCTGACCCCAGTTTGCACGGACCCCCGTCTTGTGGCTCCCGATATGGGTGTCGGGCCCCTGCTTTCCGTTGCTTCCGCTCCCTGCGAGGCATCAAGCCCAACGTCCTGCATACGTTCCACCACATCCCTGCGCCGCTTCGCCTCCCGACCCCCCAAAAAAGTGCCAAGAGCGAAGGTGCAGGCAGCTGGGCCCCATGGCAGCTCCCCCACCGCCCCGGCGCCCCCGCAACCCACCCAGCCCCACAAGGCGCCCGCCCTCCACCCCCCCCCCCGGCGCCCGCAAGAGCGCGGTGGCGGAATCGCGCGGCAGCGCAGCTGGATAGCTGCGATCGGTGCGCGGCACGATCGTGACCTGCACCGGCACCTCGGGCCTGACCTTCCCCGTCCTCGCGTTGAACTCCTTGCAGAAGTTCATCATGTTGATGCCGAGGGGGCCCAGCGCCTGGCCCACCTTCGGCGAAGGCTTGGCCGTCGCCGCTGGGACGATGAGGCGGAAGCGGCCCACCACGGACATCCTGCCGCGGGCGCCTTCACAGAGGGCAGCCAGCCACGTCCATGTCCAGCCCCGCCTGACCTAAAGTGGTGCCCCTCGCGCACAGGGGCAAGCATTACTCTGCGAGCCCAGAGCAACAGACGAGGGACAAACGGATGCGCCCCCCTCTTCAGCAAACGGCCCCCGACACTGGAGGAAACAGCGCCAGAACGCGAGACGCAAAGCACCTTGACAAGCTCACGCTCATATTCGAACCGGCCAGTCCAGCCCGTTGGACACACGAGGGAGGCCCGGGAAGAGGACTTGCACGGCTTGCTGCTGCTCCTCCCCAACATCATCACGCTGCTCTCGTTCTGGCAGAAGCATATGTTCTGATGTCATGCCTGGCTGCATGTGTCTGTCTGCATTGTGCCTGTTTGCATTCGATCTGACGTAAAAGCACCTCTATCCCAGGTCGAGGATTCACAGCGTTCCACGAAGATGGGCTGGGCCCCAGGGTTCCAAAGCACCACCCAAGATGGGATGGGGGGGGACGACGACGATGACGACGACACCGACGCCGACGCCGCCGCCGACGCCGACGCATCCGGCCGTGGCGACAAGGGGGTCCTTTCTCCCTCCTTTCTGCTGGCCAGGCACCAGAATCAGTGCTGGGCCGCCTCAGCCCCCCGACGGTGCAAGCCTGCCGCTGCCACCAGGCTGGCCCCCGCCCTTTCCCAATGTGGCCCCTGGGCCCCACAGCAGGTCCTGATCTCGAAATTTCTCCTCCTCCTCCTCCTCCTCCTCCTCCTCCTTCTCCTCGTCCTCGTCCTCCTCTTCCTCCTCCTCCTCCTCCTCCTCCTCCTCTCCTCCTCCTCCTCCCATCTCCATCCCTCCCTCCCTCCCCCTCGTCCTCCTGCTCCTCTCCTCCTCGTCCTCCTCCTCCTCCACCTCCTCCTCCACCTCCCCTCCTCCTCCTCCTCCTCCTCCTCCTCCTCCGCCTCCGCCGCCGCCTCCTCCTCCTCCTCCTCCTCCTCTTCCACCTCCTCCTCCACCTCCTCCTCCACCTCCTCCTCCTCCACCTCCTCCGCCTCCCCCTTCTCCTCCACGGTCCTCGATGCTCCTCCCCCCCTCCTCCTCCCAACAACCGCCATGGGTGCCAGGCGGCGGCCGAGCAGGAGGGGCAGCCTGCACCGACACCGACGAGGCCCAGCGTGGAGATCGACACGATGCCTGCCGGGCGGGGCGCCGCGAGGGAACCGCCGCCCGTCCCATCGCCCCCTCCTCCCTTTTTGGTAGTAAAGCTCGGGCTCCTCCTCCTCCTCCTCCTCCTCCTCCTCCTCCTCCTCCTCCTCCTCCTCCTCCTCCTCCCCTTTTGGGAGTAAAGCTCGGGCTGCGCACACACTCAGGTCAGGTTGCAACCTTTTCGGTAAGCTCCCACACACAGGGAACACACTCAGGTCAGGTTGCAACCTTTTGGGAGTTGCCCGAATGTGCGCACACACTCAGGGAACCCAAAAGCGACCTTGAGAGGTCCAGCAACCTGATTCTTTGTACTCCGAATGTTCGCAGCCCGAGTAAAGCCCGGGCTGGCCTCAACACCCTGGCGCCACCTCCGGCGGCGCCCCCCCGACGACCCAGGGGACAGGTCGGGGCCGGCCAAGACTACCTGAGGGGGGGTCTTTGCGCAGCGCCAAGCTCGTCGTCGTCGTCGTCGTCGTCGTCGTCGTCGACGTATCACACGATGTTATCGTCGACGACGCCGTCGGGGGATTGGTGACCGTCGTCCTGCTGAGTGCGACGGAGGAAGCAGCGAAGACGACGGGGGAGGGAGGCGGCGGGAGAGGAGGGGGAGAGAAGGTTCGAGGATCGACGGTCGAGGTTTCAGAGAGGTCCAGGCCATTTGGGGGCCACTGGGGCGCCCTCGTCGCCACAGTTGTGTTGCCCTCTACGATCCCAGCAGATGAACATTGTCTGCGGGCCGACTTGAGCGGGAGGATGAGGAGGCGGCCCAGAACTGCGACGTCGTGCTTTGCTCGAAACGTGGGCCCCCAGAGGTCGGGACCCTTCAAAGAGTCAGGCTTCTTGTCCCGAGTGACTGCTTTGGCGGTTCCGGGGCCCACTGAGGGCCCCCAGACGCCGAAATCTGTCAAAATCTCCCGCCGTGGTGTTTGTTCGCGACGAGCGAGGATGGAAGGAGGAGGAAAAGAAGGAGGAGGAGGAGGAGGAGGAGGACAGGAGGAGGACAGGAGGAGGAGAGGAGGAGGAGGAGGGGAGGACAAGAGGAGGCGGAGGAGGACAGGAGGAGGAGGAGGACAGGAGGAGGAGGAGGAGGAGGAAGAGGAGGAGGACAGGAGGAGGAGGAGGAGGACAGGAGGAGGAGGAGGAGGAGAAGCAGGAGTACGAGGCCCTGCGCAGGACGACCAGCAGGGCGGCGGCGGCGGCGGCAGCGCCCAGCTCCCGCCGAGGCGGGAGCGGCGCGGGGCAGGCCCGTGGCGCATCCGTGGCGACCAGGCGCGTCCCCCTCCTCCCTCGCCTCGCCGTCCTCCCGACTTCCCTCGGCGGCCCCAGCCCTCGTCCACCTCTGGGACGATGGGCCACCGGGGCCTGGCGTGTGGGTTACAGGCCCCTCCTCCTCCTCCTGAACTCCTCCTCCTCCTCCTCCTCCCCTCCTCCTCCTCCTCCTCCTCCTCCTCCTCCTCCTCCTCCTCCTCCTCCTTCTCCTTCTCCTTCTCCTTCTCCTCCTCCTTCTCCTCCTCATCCTCCTCCTCCTCCTCCCCTCTCCCCCTTTCCCCCCTCGCACCCTCGGGGATCTGCTGGCCCGGGTCACTCCAAACCTGGGTCAGTCAGGCGTTGTGAAAGATCCGGCAGGACCCTGCAAGATCTTGCAGGCTCCCGGCCAGTGCAACCCTGGCCCTGCAGGATCCTTCAGAGCCCCGGCGCTCTGACGGACCCCCGTTTGCGTCGACCCCCCGTCTCTCTGGAGCCCCGACCCCCCGGCGGCGGCGGGGAGCAGCACGGGGGCGGGCCCGTGACGAAGTACACGGCGGCGCCCACGCCTCACCCTCCCCGGCCCGCAGGGAGGGAGGAGGAGGAGGAGGAGGAGGAGGAGGAGGAGGAGGAGGAGGAGGGGGAGGGGGAGGCGGAGGCGGAGGAGGGGGAGAGGGAGGCGGAGGAGAAGGAGGAGGAGGAGGAGGAGGAGGAGGAGGAGGCAGAGGATGAGGAGGAGGGCGACGAAGAGCTCTCGCGGGCAGCGCGCGCCGCTGGCCCGCAGGGAGGGGGCGCTCTGGCCGCCCTGCCGGCCCGTCCCGCGCTGGGGGGCTCCAGCCGGCGGTCGGCGAGGCGAGGCGATAACGCAGCAGCAGCAGCAGCAGCAGCAGCAGCAGCAGCAGCAGCAGCGTGGTCGCTGGGTGCGCGCGGCGGTGGGGGGCAGCCTGGCGGGAGCGGGGAGGGAGGGCAAGGAGGAGACAGGAGGGGGGAATGGAGGGAGGGAGGGAGAGAGAGAGGGAGGACGAGGAGACGAGGAGGAGGAGGAGGAGGAGGAAGGAGGAGGAGGACTGCACGCCACTGAAGGGAGAGAAAAGAGAGGTCCTGTGGTCAGCCGCAGACCCTGGGGGGGGGGGGGGGGCCCCCTCGGAGAGGGCCGTTTGGCACCGCAGGGCGGCGGAGGCTGGCCGCCCCGTGGGCCCGCGACAAGGCCGCCACGATCGTCCTCTCCGAGATCGCGGAGTGTCCCACTGCAAAGTCCAGCGGCGACAGTCTGAGCAGAGGGTGTGGGTGCCTCCGACAAGCCTGGGGGCCACAAGCGCCGCGTAGCCCTCACCATCCCTGGCAACCTGATCTGGGCACTCGGTGGGTGGCACTGAGCCGAACCAGTCGGCGACCTTGCGCCTGTGCTGATCGGGCTCTGCCACCCCCCACCCAGCCACTCGCAAAGACGGCGAGGAGGAGGAGGAGGAGGAAGAGGAGGAGGGCAGCGTCAGGAGACTCTATCGCCTTCAGTGCCTCAGCGCCTCAGGAGGAGAGGGAGGACCAGCAGGAGGAGGAGGAGGAGGAGGAGGAGCCCATCCATTCAAAGGCCCACACCCGCTCCTACCTGCTCCACGTCACCGACCAGAACAGCAACGTGCAGGACCCAAGTGAAGCCATGCCCATCCTCCTCTGCTTGACCGACGCGTTGGCAACCATGGGAGCAAAGGCCCTGCACGCACAAAGTGACAACATGACCTTCGAGAAGAATAACTGTCACGTGGAACTACAGACACGAGTTGGACTCCAAGCAATAGAGGGGGGCCCCAGAGGAGACCCAGTGCCGCTGACAGAAGCCACTGACGACGAGATACGGCTCCTCATGAACTAGAAGGCCGAATACAGAGCCCCCTTATCAACCGCTTCAACGAGGTGAACGAGATGTACGAGCTACAGCTTGGGCCGCCGTCAGTCAAGCGGAAACCCACAGTGGCCGACGATCTCTGGGACACAGTTCCAGCGACCAGCCGACGTCATCTACGAGGAGGGCATCGACAGTCACCATGTCGCTACCAACATGCTCACACCGCTCGAGGCCGTTGCCCTCACACGACCACTTCGGCCAGACCCTCAACCATGGAGTCCATCAGAATCCATCTTGGTGCACAGCATCGTCAAGACCATGGTCGCAGACATCGGCGACCTCATGTCCCACATAACGCCCGACATACGAGCAGAAGCCAAGAAGAAGCTGACCAGCAAGGAGGCCTCCTACTACGACAAATTCGAGGACGAGTACCATGCGGAGCTTGAGTTGAAAGGTTTCGCAACACGCAGACCGACCAGCGTCATGATGCACTCACCGACAGGATCGGCAGCAGCGCAGCTGGCCATCCAATCTCTAGACTCACATCTCCGTCGGCAGCGGACAAGAGACTTCCACAGGTCTCAGCACACGGCGACGACGTCAACGTCAGCTACGCTATGCATTGGCTCCCGCGGGCCATTCTCACCCACAAGCTATGCTACATTTCATCCGACGCGTCTGCCGAAATAAGGCCTCCACCAACCTTCCCCCCGCTCAAACCCACTAGCTCACTACTTCCCCCCCTCTTGTGGCGGAGGGATGGGGTGGGGTTCGTTGACGAGGGAGCGGGCAAGGACTCACCGCGGGCTGCCAGGGCAGGGGCCAGCGCAGCCGCGGCCGCAGACGCCGAGCAGCATAGACAGGGCAGCATCATCCTCCAACGTTTGCGGCATCCTTATTCCCAGCTCACCTCCTCCTCGAGCTTCAGCGACGCGCGGAAAGCAGCTGCGGTCTCCGATCGCCTGCCCATCACCTACGAGGGGGCGGGTCGGGTAACGGTGAAATGGGGTTGGGAAGGACACCGCCACTTCCACCGCGCCACCGCCACGGAAAGCACAGGCCTCCCCCACGCACGGTACAAATCCCCCAAGCGGCCCCCACCTCCGCGATCTGGGAGCCGTTTCTCCTGCTCTGCAGGGGAGCGTACGGCAGCGGGGACGGGGGGCGCTTCGGGGGACTTCCTGTGTGCAGGGGGGAGAGGCCTTGATGCCCTCCCACTAGTGGCCGGCCACGAGGGCGAGCGTGGCTACCTGCCACCGGCACGGAGGCGCAAGCCTCCATCACGCTCGGTGGAACCCCCCCGGGCGGCCCCGAGGCATGCGTGCTGGGAACCCTGCGCCTGCTCGCAGGCGAGGGATCCCGCCGGCTGCCTCGGGGACGCCTGTGGGGGCTGCCTGTGAGCAGATGGAGGGGCCAGTGCGCCTTCCCCCTGGCCGTGTGCGGGCAAGGCCGCCACCGTCTACTGTCAGCGGCACGCTTGCCCACTGCATCTCCACCTCTAGCATCCCCACCCTACCGCTTAAAGCAGCAGCTGCACTAGTGCTACTTGCCTTGCCGCCACCAGGGCACCCACGCATTGGAGGAATGCAGACAAGGCTCCCTCTTTTGCCTCACTTTCCCACACCTCCGCACTCGGCGTCACCGTGTTTTCGCCTACCTGCCACAGCCACTCACCTGGCAATCGAAGGCACCTCTGCGGAGGGACACCCTGGGCGCCCCCCAGAGTGCTTGCCCAAGTGGGCCAGTAGACCCGCAGAGGGGAAGACCCCGTCATGGGACCTTGGGCCCCAAACCATTTCCCTACAGCTGCCACCTTTTCAACCCTGCTGCCGCCACTCTGTAACTTCCCCCT